CATATTTTAAGCAAATATAAAATATTGCTTATAAAACAACTAAGTATTCACTGTTTATCAAGGAATAGTAAAAATTTCCCACAGTAACAGGATATTTTGTCCCCATTAAAACAGCTTAATTAGGTATGTATGTAGCTCAGTTTCAGAGCACAAATAAAATGCTTTATTTTCTTAGTCCTTACTGTCAATCATGACTTCAACAGAGATACTATATCATTCTTGCTTTGTGAAGTGAAACCAATGTTTATATAGACAGGATCTGCTCTATGGAGGCCTTGCTGTCTAAACTGTATGTTTTAGCATTTGGTTGTACTAGGTCCAAACTGCATTCTCAGTGATTCTTAGAAAGTTTTCCAGTTACCTGAGAAGGAGTTACAATTAGGTGATAGATGTGAAGTATCTGCAAGTGTAGGCAGCTGATGTTACACACACACACACACACACACACACACACACACACACACACACACACACAGTGCACATGCGCAATAGAGAGAGACATTCCTAACATGCACTGCTTACGCTAATTTTTGTAAACTGAAGACATGAATGCTTACTATGATATTGTTTTGTGGTCAAGTGTGATGGTTGAAGTTTCTTTTGACCAGGTATACTCTGCATGCACAATGCCTAAGGCCCCAATTCACATTTGTGTTCTCCCTGACTACCCCCATTTGTTAAAAAGGACTCAGACTGACTAAAACTCCAACCAACTGCTGTAGTTTATGACAGTAGAAGGATCAGACAGCAGAGAAGGATATGGTAAGGGTTCCAGTTACTTCTCCCAGTGGAATTGTTCGAGAACCATGCTGACAACATGCATGGAGTATCATCCGTCAGAGAAATGGCTGGTGTTTTGGTGTTCAGAGTTAACTGCATGATTGTTCTCCTGTGTAGCTGACTTTAGTCTCCAGTGCATCCCCAGGCCAAGATAATACTTTGTAGCCCAAGAACCTCCATATTACTGTGGATTATCTGGTATGCTTCCCCCTTTTTTTGAGACAGCGTCTTTTCACTTAGCCCTAACTGCCCTTAAACTCACTGTGTAGATAGGCTAGCCTAAAATTCATAGAAATTCCCCTGCCTGTGCCTCCTGCCTCTGAATATCAGGACTAAAGGTGTATACCTTCACAGCAGGCACAAAGACACCATCACCTAGAAGGACATTCCAAGATTATAGGAGCTATTTCAAAGAAGTACAGTATGGTGATACATACCTGTAACCTAGGACTCATGAGGTAGAGGCATGAGAATCAAGAGTTCAAGGTCATCCTTGGCTATGCAGTCACTTTTGAGGCTAGCCTGGGCTGTGTTAGACTCTGTCTCCAAAAAATAAAAGAGGAGGAAGAGGAGAAGGAGGAGGAGTAGAAGGAGAAAGAAGAGTAAGTTACCTCATATGAGCCAAGAAAAATGATCAGACTTCTTTTTTAGAAAGCCCAATCTTTTACTGCACAGCATATAATAGGGCTACACAGCCTCAGACTGAAACAGGGTGGCGGAAACTCTGAGAGCAGATAGACATCAGACAGAGATTCTCTTTGTTTCCGATTTGGTGATGTTTAAAGGTTACTGTACAGAAAACTGCATACAGGACAGCATGGACTAGGTAAGGGACCCTCATATGAATCATGAGTCTCTTAAAAATACCTAAGAACACATCAGCTGCTGCTGTTTTTACTATTAAGAAACAGATGCAGCCAGGTGGTTGTGACCCACGTCTTTAATGCCAGCATTTAGGAAGCTGAGGCAGGCTGATCTCTGTGAGTTCGAGGCCAGCCTGGTCTACAGAGCAAGTTCCAGGACAGATAGGGATGTTACACAGAGAAATCCTGTCTTGAAAAACCAAAACAAACAAACAAACAAACAAAAAACAAAACCACACAACACCAAAAAACAAAGCAAAAAAGAAACAACAGCCAAAGCAAACTAAGTACCCTCAAATTAAGGTGATTTAACAAAGAATTGAGTGTGAAAATGAAATTTACTTTCCTACAATTAATATTCTACCCATGGACAATGTTCAGTTATAACTTCCCTGTAATGTTTAGGGCTGTGGAATGAAGTCAAGCTCTCTAGGGTCCACTTTTGGACCATCTCTTCCTAGTGCAGAGTTGATGTGTAAAGTTAGTTACTTACTGGTAGATACAGTGCCCTTCTCTACTCTGTGGGTCTGCATCTGATGATTCAGCTGAGTGAGTCAAAAATGCTTTTAACACTGCAGCTGTCTTGAACATGTACAGACTATTTTCTTGTTACCTCCTAAATAATACAACAGGACAACTATTTGCAAAGTTCATGTATTATGTTAGGTGTTATTAGTAGTTTAAAGACTTAAACTCACAGGATGGTGTGTATAAGGTACATACAAACACTGCCATTTTCTAAAAGGCACAATGTCTGTAGATTTTGTCATCTGTGGGAGTTCAAGGACCACCCCTGGTAGATATCAAGGGATGCTTTGTATTAGAGTAGTTGGAAGAAACTTATCCTAAAGAAATTATTACAAGTAAAATGTAGTTGGTTGTTTTCCTCATGCAAAATCTATCTTTGACTTTGATGGACACAGAACAGCCCTGGGCTGTTTTTCCTGCACAAAATATTACAAATCATTCTGTTATATCTTATCAATCTAAAAGCATACTCTCCATAAATCTTAATTGGTTTGCAATGGATCTCTGTGGTAAGAGGTTTTTCATATTCCTTATATTCTGACTTAAAGCATGCCTTTGTAGAGCCCAAACACAGCTCTCTAATAGCTTCATGCAGCTCAACTTCCTTACCATCATACCATCATATGCCAGCAACATATCCTGTTATCAACAAATACCTATACTTGTATGATGCTTTATCAATTTATCTTGAAAATCTACTTTTAGACACGTTTTTTATATAATAGGCCCAACAATTTTCAGTTTGGGGGAAACAACTGGACAGGATGATTACCAAATATTTTGGTGGGACAAACAGAACTGTTAACTGGTCAAGAAAGACACTATGGGGTGGAGGACTTAGAATCTATTATGAGAATTGGTTAATAAAAGAATACACTAATTAATACATATTTCCTGTAATGCCCCTTTGTTACAATAAATCTTTCCACCAAACCGCCCGAGCTCTACCGCCACGTGAGCGGTCTCCGCCAGCTGCCTGAGTTCTGCCCACCGCATGGATGGACAAAATAATACACAGACTTCTATTAGGTACAAATGCTGCTTGGCCAATGACTAGGATTCTCATCTGCTAGCTCAGTCTTAATTATCATCAATCTATATATTTTCAAAGACTTATCTTATAGAGGATGCCTTTCGCTGGCACCCTCTCTTGCCGGTGGCTCACATCCTGCCACTGGAGGAGGCAAAGGGGAAAGAGGACACTTCCTGTTTCTCCTTGCTTAAATATGAGTCTCCTTGCTATGTCACTTCCTGCCTGGATTACCACTTCTCTACTATATTTCCCAGAATCCTCTTAGACTTCTACTCCTGTCTAACTTGCTGTCTCATTGGCCAAACAGAACTTTATTTATCAATAAGATAAACATACTCAGTACATTCCCCATCACTCCCTTATTTTTCTGCTGTATCCTACTTTTTAAAAATTTAATTTCAGTCTTTTAATTGTTATCCTAGGGTGGTTGCTTCAGTGGAGACTTGTAGATAGCTATATTTTTTTGGTCATGGAGTTGGGGTAGCACAATAAGAATATTCTACTTGGGCCTGAATCCCAACTGGCCACATACTAGCTATGTGACTTTGGCCAAAAAACTCCTCTACAGCTTTGTTTCATCTTTCCTAAGACTCTGATATGGATAGTATCTATTTCACAGGAATTAGTAAGATAAAACATGCAAAGTACTGATGGGGAATGTCCTTCTGTGTATGTTTATCTTCTTATTGGTTGTTGAATAAAGTACTGTTGGCCAATAAAGAAGCAAGTTAGGCGAGACTAGGAGTCAAGGAGGATTCTGAGAAATGTAGTAAAGAAGTGTTGTGATCCAGGCAGGAAGTGACATAGCACGCAGACACACATACAAGCAGGACAAACAGGAAGTCATTCCTTTTCTCTTGCTCTCCCGCCTGCTCTCTTCTCTCTGTGGAGCCACCATGTGAGCCCAGGAAGACAGGATGCCTTCCACCGGTGTCCTCCATAAGAGAATTCTTATAAAATATATAGATAATGATTAAGGTTGATAACTAAGGTTGATGATTAAGACTGAGCTAGCAGATGAGAAATCCTAGTCTTTGGCCAAGCAGCATTTGTACCTAATATAAGTCTCTGTATGTTACTTGGGACCTTAACATGGCAGCAGGCGTAACTCGGGCCACCTGGTGGAAAGCACCCATGTGGCAGCAGGGCTCTGATAACAAAGTACTTTGGCAGTGCTTTGTTTACTTGCTTTATAAATGTGCTTGGTGTGATTCCAGATATTCATACCTCACCCTCACCCATGCATGCAATTTTGTGTTGACCTTTGTTGTTATTATTTTTGACATCATCCCATTGTCTTTGAATTTATCATTGTGAATGAAAAGTCTCCTGACAACAGTGATTTTTTTTTCTTTATAGATGGGGATTCTGGGAGGGTTGCTCTTTGTAATTGATGTTTGTACTTTTAGTATTATTTGTATATCTTTTCTATTGCTTATTTGATATATAAAATGATTTTATTGTATTTTTCCACAGCATCTATGTGTGTTAGGAATGATGAGTTCCTCCCCATAGTGGTTTGAATACCCTCCCCCCACACACATAGGCTCATATGTATTTGTATGCTTGGTCCCAGTTGAAGGATTAGGAGGCATGGCCTTATTGGAGTAGTTGTGTCATTGTTGGAGGACGTATGTTACTGGTGTGGGCTTTGAGGTTTCAAAAGCCCACACCAAACCAGGCCCAATTTCTGTCTCTCTGCCTGTTGCCTCTGGATCAGGATGTAAACTCTCAGCTACTGCTCCAGTGCCATGCCTGTCTGTTTCCCACAATCATAAAGGACTAACCTTCTGAAACTGTTAAAAAGCCTCCAACTAAATGCTTTCTTTTGTAAGTGTTGCCTTGGTCATAGTGTCTCTTCACAGCTCCAAGTGCCTGCTTGATACTGGGGAAATTCCAGGAATACAGCTTTTGTCTGAGCATCAGAATTCATCTTCACTCACCCTGACTTTATTATTAGTGGGTTTAAAGGCCCATTCTTGGTGGCCCTACAGTTGAGTGCAGCGTACCTGCAGTCCTCACCCACACTCCAGGTTCTGGGCCTGCGGGCCTGGGCTGCCTTCTGTTTCTAAGTCTCCAGCAGTTCTTGGGAATTCTGTGCCTGGTGACGGCACACTGTCTCTTGACACATTTTCTTTTTCTGTTCTTTGGGGCTGTTCTGATGAACATGACCCTGGAGCATTCGGTAATACCTCTGGTTCCTTGGGAATTATTGACATAGTCGGTGGCTTTATTGCTCTCTGCACAAAGGTCCCATGTCTCTGGAAAGGAAAACAAAGATGACATTATCCAGGGAAGCACAATCTGTGGCTGAGTGTGATGAAGGAACCTATTTGTCTCCCTCTCCATTAACTGTCACTTTGGTCTGAAACTAAAGACACCACCAGAGGTTTTGGTGAGCCTTGTAACAGGGAGAAAATAAACAAAACCAAGAAGTGAAAAGCAGACAGCCATTGAAGTGCCTGTGCTTTCGTATCACTGGACTGTACACTACCAATTGTATCAAATTTTATTTTTTTCCTTTGTAGGTTGCTATGACTACAATTCAGAGAATTGATGATTGTGTCAAAATGTCCAAAACTAGCAACCATGAACTATGAAAACAAACATCTATTTAGTTGAAAACATTCTACCAACTATTGAATTCTGTTCTGCTTATAAGAATGTCTAAGTTTATCTCTATTACTTTAGGCTAGTTCTCTCAACAAATAAACCAAAACACCTATGGTTCAAAGTCACGATACCCATCCTTGATTTTTATATGACATGTAGCTGTGGTTAACCTGCTGTAGACTACATTTGTTTAGAGACAAAGATGACTTAAAAGACTTAAAAGTTCTCCCATAAGTCTATTCAGTCCTGCAGTACTAAATTAGTTCTGAACACTGCCTTACCTTTCCCCGGATAGGCTCATTTGGAGTTTTCCTGGAATCATATTGATGTATAAAGGAGATGTATTCCTCAAAATTGTTTTCCTGTTCTCCTGATGAGCTCAGACAGGTAAGTGGAACTAGGAAAAATGAGAGATATTTCAGTGGAATCAGCACAATAGTTGTATTTGTGTATAGAAATATAAATATTGTGATATGTATGCTTTATGAAACTGTCAAAAAATGCCAGGCATGGTGGTAGACTCCTTCAGTCCTGGTGCTTGGGAGACAAAGGCAAGCAGCTCTGTAAATTTCAGGACAGCCTGCTCCACGTAGTGCATTCTAGGGCTGCAAGGTAAGACCCTTTCAAAAAAAAAAAAAAAAAAAGAGTCAACAGAATTTCATTAGGTTACCTACCCATACTTTAATATTGCAGATCCAAACTTTATTCTGCATGAAAACATCTAAATCAAAACAAATTAATTTTATGTGTCTGAGTATTTTGCCTGCATGTATGCATATGTACATGTGTGCCTGAGGGTGTCAGATCCCCTAGGACTGGAGTTACAGAAGATTGTGGGCCACTATGTGGTGCTGAGAATAAAACCCAGGTCATTGAAGAGCAGTCAATGCTCTTGACCACTAAGTCATTTCTTCAGCTCCTATTATTAGACAAGCTTTTAAACAGACAACAATATGCCTTAGTAAAAACATAAGTTGTTTGTCAAATTGTTTTTGACTACTAGAAAGGGTATGAAAGTATGGTCATGTCTGAGTGATTATGATTATGACCAAAGAACTCTGTGCTGACGTCTGGCATTGCTGAACACAAATTCTTTACACTTCAACCCACTAACAGAGGTTCCACTCATTTGCAATGCCCACCTGCCACTAACAATCAAAGATTCTCCTTTTAACAAATATAGACATGGATGTAAGAATTTGCATATCCTTGGCATATCTCTGAAATAATGCATAAAAATAGATTCTGGTGGCTGTTGTAGGAAGAGAATTGTGCGACTGAGGAAAGGTGGAGAGGAGTGGATTAAATTTTGATTATATATTTTTATAGTATTCAAATTATATAAACTACTAAAATGTAGCAAAATATAATTTTTACAGCTCATACCTTTATGCTGGAAGAGGTGGTAGATGTGTCAATCACAGTACTCAGACAGGAGGAAAACCACAAGTTTGAGGCCAGCCTGTGCTATATAATGAATTCAGGGACAACCTTAGATACACAGTGAGACTCAGCCTCAAACAAAAAAGAACAAAATAAAATAACACATGGTTCTTCCCAGTATGACAGATTGTTGCCTAGCATGACAGTGCACACCTTTAATGTGAGTGTTCAAGAGGCAGAGGCAGGTGTAGCTCAGTGAGTATGAGGCTACTCTGGTCTACATGGCAAGTTCTAGGTCTGCAAGGGTGATATAATGAGACTCTGTCTAAAACAAGCAAATAAACATGTTCTAATTTGGGGAAATAAATAAAAACAGATAATACATTATTAATAAATGATACTAAGCATTTATGAATTCAATTTCATATTCAGATGTTGACATAAAATACTTTTTGTAGCACAAATGATGAGTATTCAAGGATTTATGAAAATGGATATATTTCTCCACTTAGCAGGACAGAATAGAAAGTGACAACATTTTCTTGGTTTCTAACAAAGAGCAGCAGACATTTATCCTTAGTTGTTGCCTTTCTTGTAGGACTTGTGAGCACACCAAGAAGAGCAGTTGCCAACAACATAAGAACTGTAGCAATGGCAAAATTCCATGATTTGTATTTTTCTTGCAAGTTGGGATATGACTACCTTTTTATGAATATCATATTTTCACTATCAGATCATTGATGCTTTCACTAGTCTCAGCAGGTGACAACTTCTTAGATAAAGTGAAGTACCTTTGCATCTTAGGATTACTCAGTGATTTGTGGAGAAGCCAAAACAGGAGCTGTGGTAGAGGACAGACGTGTTTTCAAATTCAGGCTCTACCACATATCCTGAGCATGTGGAGCTGGGGTGCAGCTCACTTAATTTTATTGAGGTTCAGTTTCCTCTCTTCTAAAATGTACATAATTTGTATCCTAAATTCATTTCTGATACTTTGCTAAAATACCCAACACAAAAGGAGCTTTAAGGGAGAAAGGGCTTGTTCAGTTTACAGTTATCTCAGAGAAGTCCAGGTGCAGTGACTTAAAACTGCTAATCCTCTGGAATACACAGCCAAGAGCAGAGAGAAAGGAATCCGTACCAGCTTCTGGCACTTAGCTCACTTTCATCACTCTTACACAGTCCACAAGCCCATGCCCGGGAAACGGGGCTGCCCACATTGACCAATATAATCAAGACAATCCCACATTTTTTCTTTTTTCTCTTTCTTCAAGGACTTGGCTTATTAATTTATAATTTTGCTATGGAAAAGTAAACTTCTGAATAATATTCTCTACCTAATATGAATTAAATACATGGCTATAGACTTAGAAGATAGCTTGATTTATTGAGGTTTATAATTTATCTCTTGGCTAAAAACATTCTAGACAAGTTATACATAATTTTTCCTTTCCCCATCTTTTTTTCTCTGTTACCTCCAGTTTCTAGTGTTCAGTTTAGCATTGGAACCCCATTGTGAGTTGTAAAGTAAAGTAAAGACACATTTTAAAGTCTCACAAGGGCTCACTTCATTCTTTTTTAAATTACATTTTAATTTTTATTAATTAATCAATTAATTTTCCCCCAGCCCAATCAGTTTCCGATAACTCCCTTTTCTTCTCTCAGTCCCTCACCTCAGCCTCCCCATCCACTTCTTCCCCCTTCCCTTCAGAAAAGTGCAGGCCTCCCATGTAGCCATGGCATATCAAGTTGCAGCAAGACTAGGCACCTCCTCTCCTATTAAGGCTGGATGAGGCAACCCAGCAGGAGGAAAGGGTCCCAAGAGCGGACAACAGAGTCAGAGACAGCCCCCAATCCCTCTGCCAAGAGTGCCACAAGAAGACCAAGCCACACAACTGCAACACATGTGCAGAGGGTCCAAGTTAAACCCACGCAAATTCTCGTGTGTCAGTTCAGTCTTCGTGAGCCCCCATGAGTCCAGGTCAGTTGATTTTGTGTGTTTTTCCCGTGGTGTCCTTGGTCCCTCCCATAATCCATCCTCCCCCTCTTCCACAGGATACCCCAAGCTCTGCCTAGTTTGGCTGTGGGTCTTTGCATTTATTTCCTGCAGTTGCTGGGTGAAGTTTCTCTGATGACAATTGGTCTAGGCAACGATCTATGAGTATAGCAGAATATCAATAGGAATCATTTCATTGACTTTTTT